CTTGTACCATGAATATGAGCATACCCTAATGATAACTGTATATTTTACATTTAAAAAGTATTTGATAATTTCCTTTTTGTATTGAATGCGCATATTTTCAATAAAATTATAATAATAATAATATGCGCCATAACATGATATGCCAAAGTCAAAAAATTAGCAAATCTGGCAACTATGTAAAATATTAAAACTTAAAAGCATATGATAAAATATAAAGAACAATTCTGCATAAAAAGTTCAAAATTTTTCATACAAATGAATTTTAAAATAATAAATCATGGAACCCCTTTGAAAATTTCTAACCTTACTGTTTTTAGAAAAAAAAAAATTGATAGGAAAAATCGGTTTACCGTTTTTTCTAGTATTTTATATAGCTAAGTAAGTATATTATTTCAACATATTAATGTCTGTTATCTATATAAGCCCCTAAATATATGCTGCATAAAAGTAAGCAGTCCGTGAATGTAAACATCTGGACTGTTAGCCACATGCAACTGTTAACAGGCCGCTGACAGAGTTCAATAGCATTAATAAAGCCATATTTTCCATCCGTGCGTAATAGAATATGAATGATTGTTGAGTAATCGTGTTAAAACGCTCGCTATTGATGATAACGACGTTTCCTGCCTCATTTCGAAAGAAATAAGGCCCGATGGTGCTGCCACACCACATTCCACAATAAACAGTCAATTTTTGCAGATGTAAATGCGTTTTCTGAACCACACGAGCATTTCGCTCACCCCAATAATGACAATTTTGTTTGTTGACGAAGTTATTAAGCCAGAAATGGCGCTCATCTGAGAAGATGGTTTTTCGATGTCAGTGAATATGTGAGTTTTACCGAAACCATGAATTTGCAACATGACATGATGAAATGGCAAACCTTATTGAACACACTGACAAAATTTGACATAAATGCATAAACAAATATAGCTGCCACGAGCTGTCAAAATCACGTCATCGCTATGGGTAGACGCTGTTTATGCCTTAAGAGGTTTCAATTGAGCCATAGTACACTTTTCCTTGAGGAAGAACTAAACCAAAGCACCAAAAATCAAAATAAATCGCCTATATACCTTTTCCGACTATATAAGCTAGCAGAAATGCCACATTGAGACTTTGACTGCCTATATTGACGCCTAAAAAGTTCGAAATTCGACAACAGAGGAGGTTTAACCAAATAAAATGACGTTCGTGACATCATACCTTTTATGATTTTGTTTTTGGTTTAAATGTTAGTTAATCCAAAAACAAAAAAAAAACTCGCTCATGCAGAGAGAGTATTGTGTTCCGCCGTCACGTCATCTCATTTACATTGTTAAATATCCATCGCTTGCTCTCGCGATTATTTACATTTCGCGGCTTGGAGCTCTTGAGCTTAACTGGCTCCTTCACAGGGAAGGTAATTTTAATGAAAGGGTTATTTTGCAGTTTCAAAGCCATACTTACATGTGTAGAACACACATACATACCTACATATATGTATGGTATATTCTATGTGATTAAGCTGCAAGTTTTTTTAGATAAAAAAGTTTTTAAAAAATTTCTTTAAAATTTTTTTTTTATTTAAAAAAAAATTAAGAAAAAAAAATTATGTTAATTAAAAGCACCTACTACTAAACATTATCATACTTACCATAAAAACTAAAAATTTTGCAATTTTTATATAATTTTTTTTTTACCAATTTTAAGACAAAAGAAATTATTTCCGATTTTCAAACAAGAGCAATTTTTTTTCTTCTTTATTAAAAGCTTGGTAAAAATAATTGAATTATTTAGCTTAATTAAAGAAGTAATTAAGTGCACGTCGGACAGCATTATAGTGCATACTAGAAACATACTTAGCCCACATGGCTCAGCACAAGAGCTCTACACAAAAGAAATAAACAAAAAGGTGGCGGAAACCGGAAAGAAAAAGCTGTAAAGTCACGCGAAAATTTTTGTGAATTACAAGTGGCTTAAATATAAATTACAAATTAAATTATTTGATAATTATTTTTTCTATGCATTAACAATTTAGTAACAGTATATAATTAATTAAAGTGCATTTGTTGTTATGCAATTTTTTATAAAACATTTGATAAATCAGTGAAATGTAAATTTAATACTAAATTTATGTATATACACTTATGTATGTATGTATATGTGCCCGCCAACTTTAAAATATGTATAATAATAATAAATTGTATTTATTGAAATAATATTGTTATTTTTAATAAAAAAAGGTACATTAAAGTAACACTAATACAAACACACATACATAAATAAATAATATGTATGTGTGTTTGAGTGATTTCCACTACAATATTTATTTAGAACATTCGCACATAATTATATAAGTATATGCATTTATTTATTTACTTTATTATGTCCATATATTTATACGTACAATCTCGTATAACTACCATACATACATATATGCAATTTAGGCTAAAGGCAATACATATACAAGTATATTGTACATATATATAGTATGTCTTTAGACTTTTTGAATTGCAGACAACATTGCTTGGCGTTTAAAGTTTTGCGCTTGGCAAACATATTTTGAAATCTAATAAGTGAGATAAAAAAACATTTATAATTTTGTGTTGACTTTATAAATCATGTTCAATGACTTTTTATGTATTTTTGCATTTATGGAAACCTAAAATTGACATAAAAAATTTACTATATGTGCATAAATAAAAATATAATGAAAATAAAAACATATCTACTATATTAAAAAAAAATAAAATAAAATCCGAAATGCTTTTAGTTTTTTAATAAGAAACAATAATAAGCCAAACAATGTATATATAAATAAATAATTTTTTAAAAAACTATAAGAAAAAATATAAATTAAATTCAATATTATACATATGTGAATATATAATATCAAATGAAAAATTGTAAAAACGAAAAAACGTTGTCAAGTACTTAAAGCAAAATATTTAATGAAAAACTTTTTTTAAAAACTTAAAAAAAAAAATAAATATAAATATTAACACATAAAATTATAATATAAAATTTATTAATTATTATAATAAGAATTGTAAAAACGAAAATATATTTGTAAATAAATATTTTAGTAGAAGTTTCAAAAAAATTAAAAATTAAAATTGAAATCTCAACACAAGATATTTAATTATGGTAAAAATTTGGGAAATGAAAAAATATTTCGGTATAATTAAAGAAAAATATTTAAGTAAGAAATTAAAAAAAATAAACTGATAGAAAATATTAAAATTTTTAATATTAACATATGATTTACGATTAAATTAAAAATTGTAAAAAAGTAAAGTATTTAAACAAAATTTGTTGAAAATATTAAAAAAAAAAATTAAAATTTTTAAATTAAAAGTTTTAAGTTAAAATTTTTAAATTAATTAAAAATTGTAAAAAGGAAAAATATTGATGCAATTAAGGGGTAACATGGCCACAAAAAACATTTTTTACTGTCTTATTTATTTCCATAACATCACTGGAATATTGCCCTTAATTCTCAAGAATATTGTTCTAAATTCTCAATTTAATCCGCGTAATAGTTTTGGAGATACAGCACGCTCGTGGTCAGCTATATAGTCACTTAAAACTTTAAACGCGTTTTGCTCGTAACTGTATATTTAAAGTCGGTTGTGAAGATTTCTCGCGAACTACACAACTGATTTTAATGAAATTTTATACAGATCTTCGGACAGACCTTTTATACAAGGTCTTGAATGAAGTATTTTTTTTAAACTATTTAACAAAAGAAAAATCGAGAAATTTTCAGAAAAATTTGAATTTTTTTGTAAAAATGTTTGCCAAAAATACAATTTTCACTTTTTTTTTATTTTTTACTGCGTGCAATACCTAATTTATGGTCTTAATTAAAACACGTGTGTTTTACTTTTTACTTTTGACGATTCAGCAAGAAGTTCTGCTGTCAACGCGCAGGCACCTGTTTTCCTAGGTACTGCCGGAAATGACGTCGTAATGGCCGAGTTTCGAATAGTTTATTTTGTAAATCTCACAAAATCTTTGTAAAATATGAATTTTTGGAATAGCAAAAAGTTTGAATAAATATAAATGTTTAATTTTTTATATGAAAAAAGAATGTTTGAAAATAAGCAAATAACGACTCGAGAAAACCATGTAACCCCTTAAATGAAAATATTTGAGCACGAAAAAAATTTGAAAGAATTATAAATATAATTTGTCCCTAATATTTTAATCAACTTTTTAATGCTGCTATACTTGTATATAAACAGAAATAATAATTATTATATTTTAATTATCTCAACATTAGATATTGCCATTAAGCTGCTCTAATATCCATCAGAAACTTTTATAATGTAAAGCATGCTTAATATATGCACCTAATTTGAAAACATTGCTTATAACAAATGCATTGCATTGACGCATAAAAATCTAATTTCTACGAATTTCAAACTGATTGCCTATTTTTTACATACTGCTTAAAGCTATATTACTTTATAACGTTACATGTATTTTTAGGCGTGTGCACGTGACACAATAGTGACAAAATATTATATATTAAGTTATAACTAAATATATGTATGTTTGTATATATTATATGTATTTTTAGTAAGTGCCAATAATTGTTGCATATTGCTAATAGGTATTGTAAAACATTAATACAAATAAATAATAACACAAAACAATTTGAGCTTTTGGGTTGGCATTGCAAGTGCTATGTATACATATATATATAATATATATATTATTATTATATTATATTATTATATTAATATATATATTATATATTATTATATATATTATACCTATGTAATATGTATAGGTGTGTATGTGTGTGTTTTTGTGTAGAAAAAGTTTTCATAACAGCTCAGAGTAAGCTCGAGACAATAGCTGTCAATAAGTGCACATAACCGCAAATGTTGCATGAACCGCAAAAAGTATTACTACTACATATACATATGTACATATGTATGTATGCGTGTAACTTAAGCTTTCGTTGCCAATTTAATGCTATTACATTAAACATATGTAGAAACACTGAATACAATGCAGCTAGTGCGTTTTTTAAACACTTCCAATTCATTTTATTTGCTTCATTTTTCACATCACATTTAACTTGTCATTTATTGCATTTGTATTTCATAAATCCTTTAACAAAATTATGCTATACTAATTTTTGCAACAGATTTGTTCATAATTTCTTATAATTCTCATTTGGATTTCCCACCGACTCCGACTCTTTCATTCACTAATAAAAAATGTCGCTAAAGTTAAAGCAAAAATAAAACAAAATCTGCGCGCTTACCAACAAAAGCTTACGCCAAATCTGTACTCAACATTGCTCTTTCATAATTTTGTCTATGCGCCGAAGCGACGTGGCACTGCTGTGCCACAGTTGCACAGCGCCAAATTTCATTATTTACGCTTACACTCCCCCATATTTAATTCATCGTCGGAAAAATTGAAAACTACCCATAATCACTGCAAGCAGGACCCACTATCCAATATCGTGTCGTTGACACGATCCAAATCGTCGAGTGTGTCTTCCGAACCGGAGGCAGTTAGATCGCACAGTTCGTCAAGGCATTTCTGCTTCTTGCGCACATTCCAGTGCAGGCACTCCGCTAGCGAGTCGAACCAGTCGGAAATTTGATCTTGTGCGCATATGCTGGGTACCGGATAGATGGAGGTGGTGACGCGTAGGCAATCGCCGTGTAGCAGCTCCTGCCGATTGCGACCATCGAATGAGACCCACGAAGTGTTGCGGCTGTCCGGTGAGATGCAGATCTGTGTGTGTCGAAGTGTTTAATAAAGGTTAGCCTTTATACATATATATCTATGTATATGTAAATGCATACCTTTAACTCCACGCCGGCGGGCACTACAATCGGTCGAAAGCTCAGCGAGTGCGGGCAGATGGGTGTCACCATTATCGCCGGCACCGAGGGATGTATCATCGAGGCGCCAGCCGCCACGGCATAGGCGGTACTGCCAGTGGGCGTGGACACAATTAAACCGTCACCCTGCACCGACGTGATATATTTGCCATCCAAAAAGAGATCGATATTGCTTAGGTACGGTGAGGGTCCGCGATCGATGACGACTTCGTTGAGCACCTGTAAAACAACTGACATTAATATACGCTGTAGTTTGTAATTTCTAGCATGTTACGCACCAAAATATTCGTTGAACCACGACTGCCACTCTTATTTGTGGCGTCGCTGCCATCCGTTTGGTAATTGTATGCATTCTTTGTTATTTGATTATCACTCTCCGACTCCTTGCGGCGATCGCTCTTCCTATAGATAACACAACGCAAGCGACTGCGCAATGTGAGCGCAGCATGACCCTCCAGCACGTTTGTCACTTGCTCCTGGAAATTCTCAAATTCGAATGGCGTTAGAAAACCAAGCGAACCCAAATGGAATGCCATAACCGGTGGCACCGATTGCTGGAACAGCAACGAAGCATACAACAGTGTGCCGTCGCCACCAAGGCAGACTATAAAATCAATACGATCGGTTAAATCATCACGACCATCTCTGTGTTGGGAGACAGAAAAGTAAAAAATGCATGAATAATGAAAAAGAAATTTATTTCTAAAGAAGTGCTGAGTGTTAGATGAACTCACTTGAATGTCACTAATTTCTCTTTGATATTCTTAAATTTCTTATCCTCTATTAGTAGCGGGTCATCGAGCACCGCCGACTCGACCCAAACGACCATGTGCTTCTCCTGCACCAGCCATTCGACCAGCTGTACGAAGGGTGCCAGCACCGTTGAGTCACGCACTTTCTTTATGACGAGCACGGTGAGCGGTGGCTTGTACCAGGTCAAGCGTTGACTGGCGGGATCCTGAATTTGCCTGCAATAGTCGGAGAGAAAATGGTGTAAGTTGTAGTAATATAAAAGTATAATAAATTCTTAATTTCGTTGAAGTTTCTGTATTTAAGAATACATATTTTTATTCTCTTGCATCTAGATTCTCGATTTAGATCTTGCAATATAGTTTGATTCATCATCGATCATTTAAGTGGAATCTTATATCACAGAAAGTACTAAACCAATTTCCACCAATTTTGGTTTGTGAGTTAACCCATATATTTCTATCATACACTGTGAAAATGTGCGTAATTGACTGACAACCACGCCTGCTTCCCATATAACAAACTTTTAAATCCCGTCTGATTCTTTCAGTTTACAGGTCAAATGTAGTTATCAGAATAAAAGTTTGCACAAATAATGTACGCAAGCTATTACCCCCAAACATTGTCGAAATCGGACTATAACTTTGCAAGAACCCAGACACCAAATATGTGGACCCTAATGCATATTTTGGCTGATTTTTTACCGAAGATAGCGGTCAATATGTGAGATATGGTATTGAAATTCGCTTAGGATATTTTGAGTATTTTTATTATTATATTTTGAGTATATTTATTATTATATTTTGAGTATTTTTATTATTATATTATATTTTTAGTATTTTTCTTATGAGATTTTGAGCCGGGGAAGGCTTTGATTTTTCAAAATTGCGAGAGTATAAGATGTTCGGTTACACTCGAACTAAGTACTTGCTTACTTGTTTTTTATTTTGTTATGCATATTTCTACATTAAAATTTTACTAATTTACTTACATAACCATTGCTTGATTTTTCATTATTCGTCCACATGGTCCAAATTGTTGGAATGGCGATGGAGCATTCAAACTTCTGGTGCGCCTGAAAATATAAAAAAGGCATAAGAAATTTTTTATTTTATAAATATATAAAAATTTATATTTTAATAATAATTAATTAATATAAATATAAATATAAAATTATTTGTATAACATATTTCAATATATATATAGTATAATTTTAAAGATATAACCTAAAAAATTTGAAAAAATAGAGTTTCTCCAAGTAAGAAACAGTGTAAACAAGCACGGCGCAAAAACTGGGTATTACTGCTCTTAGGAACTTATCGTTGCTAAAGCTCAAAAATAACTGAAAATTAACTTTTTTGATATTTCGGCAGTTTAACATTTTTCTTTGATTTTTCTCAACGCCAATCCTTTGCAATTTGCTTACTAATATTAAATTTTAGCACGCAGGAATCCAGTAAAAGAAATGCCATGTATATTTTTCAACATTTATTGGCATAATTCCTGACTAACGCCGCCAAAAGTGTCGAGACAGCGTTTCGAACACAAACACATACATACATATAACAACCTCTATATATTTAGTACATAAATACAACGCGAAACCAAACCAGATTTTTTAGTTGATCACCTTAAAATTGTTTAACGCGACTGGCGCCTGGCACCGAAATCTCAAAAACAAAAAACAAAAAACAAACAAAAATATAAAAAAACGCTAATTTTACTACTTTTTATAGACCGAGCGCATTTTAAGAATATTTCTAGCCAATCCGCTATAAAGCTACATACTTAATTGTCTGTAAGGCATGCTCGATTAACTTTCGATACAGCCGCATAAATATTTATATAAAATTTCGTATAAATTTTGTTAATTATCCACACAAAATACTAGCAATTTGGTAGGCGGGGCGTGTTTAACCTTAAAGTTCTGCAGTCCGCCGTGATTTTGTCGGCCAGCGACAGCTGTTCCAGCACAGTTTCGCCGTTGTACGCATGAAAGCCGTTATCGGCTATAATATCGTTATTGAATTCCTTCAAATCGATGGCGGTGCGTTTGAGCGGCACCGCGTCCAGCAGCAGCTCTTGATGACGCCGATGTATCGGAAACATTTTTTAAAGGATTTTACGACCTCACAAATTTACACGAATTTTTTTTTTATATGTGGCTTTTGCTTAGTTTTAGCACTGAACGCTTGATAAAAAGCGCATGAAAAGTTCAAAGACACAGCAAATAATGTTTGTTTTTTGTTTTTGTAGTTTATGTATAGTAAAATCACATAAGCAAACGCGTACGCTGAACTAGCTGCTATGATATTTATTTTAGATGAAAAAATTGTTTGACGTTGTTTTCTTTTGCGCTTTACACCTTTGTTAGCTTTATTGCTTCATATATTCATATAATATATTGTTGGCGAACGTTTTGTATTGTTGTGGATAGTTGGTTGCTGAGCTTGTTGCTTGCGCGCTCGTTCGTTTGCGGCTACTGTGCGATGCGACTTCAAGTGTTTGCCTTTTTGATTGCCTTTTGATTGGCTCCGCCTGTTTGTTGTTGCCTTATTAGCCGTATTTTGATGCCGTTGCCGCTCAATCGCTGTTGCCCGCACGAAGGTTAAAAAAATACTGGAAACCTGTGATCTCGGCGGCAAATAACGTGCTACCAACAATTGGTAAAACGTTTTTGTTTTCGGCATCTCTTTTGTTTTTATTTACTGCTTCGGCTCCAAGCGTATGACAGCAACAACAGCCAATACAATCGGCAGGCAGTCGGTGTCTCAGCTGGAGTCAGCTGGAAGGAAGCATAGCATAAAACGATGGGTACAACGTAGACTCGTCGCATATGGGCGCAAGAGACAGTGTGTGAGCCAGAGCTAAATAAAACTGTTGTAAACTATGTAAGAAAATAGCATTGTGAGGGAGGCAAGCGTTGGCAAAAAAAAAAAACAACAATAATATAAGGTATATATTGCAAAATATAATAAATTGTATATATACATATATGTATATTGAAAGATTAGTATATACAAACATACACATATTGAACAAAATAATATGTGGCTAAATAAAAGAAAAACTAAAGACATAAATATTACGATGCGCAAGCGCATGCCGTAAGCTGCTGAGAGTGTCGCTGCTGTAAACAACACCAACTCGGATACTAACTGCCTACAGCTTCAAAAAGTGTTGTCGGAATGTGTAGGCAGCTGTGGGTAGTAAACAGCTGAAATTACATGACTTGAAATCAAGTCGTGCACAGTAAATAGATTGGACTAATTCGCTGCGTTGGGGTTATATTAAAAGCGAAAGTGTTAGTTATGAGCGCTTGAAAAATGGTAAAGGAGAAGGAAGTAAGTAGTTGGCTCATTCACCCCGCCCTCAGCCCTCTAGGAAAACTGAACTTGCCTGCTTTTATAAACGGTCAAGAACTGCAAACTCTGTAGCATTACTTCCAATTCTTTGGCAAACATTTCTCTAACCTAACTTCATTTATAGAAAAGTATCCAAAAGAAGAGATGACGCCCAACGTGGGGCTCGAACCCACGACCCTGAGATTAAGAGTCTCATGCTCTACCGACTGAGCTAGCCGGGCAATTGAGGCGTGGCTACAATATAACGGAATTTTAAACTTGAAGTATTCACAATAGAAGTCAATATTTTTATAAATTGGCGTATAAAACATTTGCATAAAACATACATAATTAATACTAATTGAAACAAAAAATTATATTATTATATAGATATTTAAAGGAATTCAAATGTGTATGTATGTTCTTAGATTAAGTATTTTTTTCGATATTTAATTTAAACAAAGAATTTTTTCAAGTGTAAATAATTGTACCAACTGTATTTACACTGCTGCTGGCAAAAAGTTTAACTGCGCCCAACGTGGGGCTCGAACCCACGACCCTGAGATTAAGAGTCTCATGCTCTACCGACTGAGCTAGCCGGGCAACTGGATCCATTTACTAGGGTGGCAGCATTTTAGCAGTTATTACTTAGAACACTACTATAACTTTCAATATTTCTAGAAACAAAAAATGCACAAAAATACGTTATAAAAGAGGCATAACATTTTTAACCTAAATATTTATATTTAAGGGTTTTGGAAATCAGCATAATTTTTTACTTGCTTGTCCTGTATTGTATCGCCTACATGCTAGTACAATTTGACATAACAACTGGAATTCTACATTATATAGAGGACTCAAATATTTTAATTTTGAAAAAAAAAATTTTATAGACATAATTTTTACATACATATTTGTATTATAATTTTGTACAGTTATACATATTTTTCAAAATCAGATTAAAAAATTTTAGAACATAGCATGTAGCATCCTCGATAGTATAGTGGTCAGTATCCCCGCCTGTCACGCGGGAGACCGGGGTTCAATTCCCCGTCGGGGAGTAGAGTACACCATTATTTTTATTTAAATTTTATATTATTTTTAAAAAGAAATTGTAGTTTTTTACTTCTATCAAACAAAATCTGAAAATATTCCTATGTTATTTATATGGGAAATCATAGTGCATCCTGTTAATATTAAGCGCTTAAACCTTATCAGATTTATTTTGTCATGTCAGCCAAAAATTTCACGGTATCTTAAAAAATATTTTAAAGATTTTTTACGCCCACCCTAAATAAAAAACACTAAATTTATTTTTTTTTTTGTTTTTTTTCAGTAGGTTTTTATTCTGAATTTGTTGTTTCAGTCTTTTTGGATTTTCCAAACTGTTGACCGACTTTTATTATATATTTAATATGCAAAAATTTACCATAGTCACCCCGCTTAAAGTATGGTAAAATAGTCGCGTTAAGGTCACAAAAAATTCCAATGTACAAGTATACCCGTTCTCGCAGCATTTGCATAAATTCTTCCGGTCTACGAAAACAAATTACAAAACGTCAGCATCGAACACGTCATAAAATATAAAATATAAACATGTAAACAAAACAATGCTGCTTAAAACAATAAAAACACTTAAAAAACAGATGATACATATGTAATGAAAAATATTTGTGCGATTACTAATGAAAATTTCAATGAAATTAATAACTTGTTTCATGGCAGCAGCGCATGCGCGCACGCAGCGTGTCGCCTTTAATGACATTACATGCACAGCGGCGACAGGTTGGCACAGTGGCGACACATTGAACGGCTGACTGCGTTATATTTTCGTTTTTTGTTTTATTTTGTGTTTTATTTACTTCGATTAACTATTCATTTATTGGTTACACCACATTCGTTGGCTGAAGTGTTGCTTTTTTGTTGTTTCTATTTGCACTTTACCGTATGAGCTCGCGCATTAGCGATGCAAAACGCACTTTGAACAAGCACAAACATACGCACACATACAAATATATTTACTATATATACGTACTTAGGTATACATAAGTGTGCGCGGTGCGACGCGATTCGTTTGCTACTCAACGAACCCAAAGGTGTGGAAAATATTAATTGTATGCAGTGCGCAAATATTTACATTCAATTGACGACAATAAAAGCAAAATATTTATATATATGCGTTTAAAATGCTGCAACAACAAAAAAAGTAGAAATGAATTCAGATGCTGTACTGGAGAGTCGTAGATGTGGCTGGTGTGCAATGCACATAGTTTAGGAAGCAGAAAAGTGCTATGCAACGCTGGTGATTGGTGCTAGAAAGCTGCAAGGCATGCTTCAGCGTGCACTTGTGCAGTGCGGTGTGTGTGTGTGTGTGTGTACGTTAACCGTTGCACTTTCGTACTTTCGGTTTTGTTGGCAAGTTAGTTATGCTTGCAGCTGACTCAGGCGTTAGTAAAGCAACTGAGTGATTTATGCATGCAAGATGAATATCATCACATACTTATGGTACATTTAGTGCACAAATACATGTATATGTACAAATTAGGGTGCTAGACACCTCAATTTAATAATTTAACAAATTTACAGTTTGAGAGGTTTTTTTTTGACTTACGCATTTTCAAATTTATATTCAGAGTTACAAAACTTTGTTATAAAAGCTAAAACTGCATATGATTTTATAAAAAATTGCGAAAAATACTTTACTTGTATAAGTGCGCTTAATTGATTGAGT